TCTAATTTAAATGCAGAACCATCCCATTATCGCCATATCAGGAAAAAAAGAAGTCAGGTAAATGACAAGCATGCTAGATAAGTTCTTAAGTTCTTGGAAGAGGTAATCGCTTCCTTGTGTTGGTATTGGACATCAACCTTTCTGAAGAACTCTGTCATTCCAGACTAATCTGTTGATGGTAATTTCCTCTGGACCCTAATAATTGCCTTCCTCAAATAAGGTAATCTTGCGTGGTGTGTATGTTATCTTATTCGATATTTACATCATTTTCCCTGTTTCGATTGGCTGATCAAATATCGTAATCACATGTTTTATCAAGCAACTGCAAATTAAACCCGCGTTGAATGATACACACAACGACAGTTTAAATTCTTCTGCCTAAATGAAAGTTTGATGGTTGTGTACGGAAGGAGAAGGACATTATTAGATAGTGTTCATAAAGATCTTAGACCAAAATTCATTGAATTGGAAGGCTTACATATTGACGTATTCACAAATATTTTGCTTTTGATAACAATAGTAAATAATTTAAGAATAATTGCTTAAGAATTTAGCTCATCTGAAAACAGCAACTAAAATTACTGCTGCTTTTCATAGTAAAGAATAAAATTTTACGGGGAAATTTGTAAAATTCTTTGAATGACAAATTCCCGATATTTGATCGCACACATTAGAATAGAAATATTTGTGTAAATATTAATTGAAAATTATTTCAGTTATCGTGTTCAGTATCATTTCGAGTCATCTTATGCAGCACCTTTAGCAGACGGAGTAAATTATTTACAGAGATCTTAATAATAAGTTTTATTTCCTTTCTTTCATTAATTTTTTTAAACCAACTAGGCAGACCCTTGCCTCTTAATAAATTTCTCGGAATGGTTAAACCCGTTAGTCATTTAACTGACTCGTCACCAGAAGCTTTATCCAGGGTGCATCTCAATGAGCAATGAATATTACACCTGTTGGAAAGGGGGGAAGGAGACACACAGTACCCAAGCATTCCGCGAGATTCGAGCCCGTACTAGAGTTGGGACTAAACAGTCAGCCTCCGCTAACCACTAGATCGTCTCGAGTGACGCTAGATGGTAGCTACATTAAACTGTCTCAATCTCAGGCGTTAATATTCATTTTAAACTACAGATTTCTAAGCTAATGTTTATCTTCTCTCGAGTGTATCACTTATACAAAACGTAACACTAGTTTCTGTACCTAAAAGTTGTACCACAAGTACAGCAGTTACTTTCAAATCTGTCTGAGCAAGGCCTTGGTTGTAAATTGTTACTTTTACTGCTGAGTAAAATTTCAGATTTTTATGCATTTCTGTTATATATATCTATTGACTTAAGTCAGAGGTGACGGATACTCATAAAAGCAGTTTGTTATTAAATAGGCTGCTTTCTGAGCTTTTAATAAGGATTTCAGTTCTTCAGTACTATTTTATGTCCTAATAATACTTTAAATAATGAATCTACGTCTTTACAGTTTACGAAATCATGCTTTTTGGAAAATAAATGTTTTAAAATTAACTCTTTTGCCGAAATCTACACCCTTTTGCGCGTATTTCTAATACATACTATACCTTCAACTTTGACGCAAGTTTTTCATCCTGACCTTTTGATAAATTAATATCATGATTAATGCCATTCAAGCCAGATTTATTGGAACATTGTATGTCGGGACTGATAATGGCTCTAAAAAAATCGTCTAATATAAAACAATAACATCGATGAGGCAATTTGTTACAAGAGTGAGGTCCTAAGGAAGAAATTCTGACGTCTTAATAGAAATACCGTAGTCTGCGTAAAATACGTAGGAATCGCATAAAAAAATTCTATAATCAAATCACTATTGATCAGTGCGATCACACATTTGAGTCGCTTGGTTAGAAATCTTGTTTCATTTTAGTTACCTTTAAGGTCTGTAATGTAAGGAATTAAAGGCGTTTTCTCCCCTACGTGTTGTGTGTTATAACGGCCATAAAAATCCTAAGTTCGATCTCCAGTAAAAGCACGATTCATTTTCTACATTTCTTCCCTCCCAACCTCTCTTCTCATTCACGGGTTTATCACTTATGCTTCAACTTTTACTTTAAGAAGAACCATATTGGTTGAGTTTTACTTCAAGGCATGCATTTCAGTTGCTTAATTATCTTTATTAAAGAAGGAACATCTGCAGCACACTTAAATACATTTTTAATACTTTTGAAAATACCCGATAACTTATGTTTCAGCTTTTTCGCACAAGAATACGAAAATTTTCTAAACTTATTCTCCTTCGCTTTTTCCTCTCCTTATCATCTTGAAATACAAAGAGGGAGAGCCTCTGACCGTTTTTTCAGTTTTAATGGCTCCTTTGTCTTCTTATAGTTGAATTTTCACATTCTGTATAGCAAAAACTGTTAAAAAAAATTGGAAATGCGTTCAGAAGTAAAGAATCAAAACTGTCTGTTTTTTTGTTCTTTCATGATTTATATATATATGCTAAGGTTTGTGTTACTGAAAATTAACTGTTAGGGCTCAGATTTAAAACTTTTTTATATCGGATTTGCAGATGATTTCATTGAGAAGATTAGTGGCAACGTACGAGTTGATGAATTTATGTGTCATAATTCATAGTAAACTATGATAACAGTGGAATATATATTTCACTATCGTCTCTTTCTCCGGATTTCTTTTCCAGACGCTCTGTATATACGACCCGGGTAATATTTTCCAGATGCTCGTTCTGTGACAACCGTAGAATTTTTTTCTTCTTTTTTTGAACCTCAGATACACATGTCAAAGAAGTTCTTTAACCACCCAATACACCTGCTGAGTATCATTTACTGAAACGATTTCATTAAGCTTTTCTTTTTCTTTTCTTTTTTGGCTTGCACGTACGTGTTGACATTTACTTTTGCAGCTTCTTAGCTAAAATAGTAGGTTCTCGACGCGAATCTTTGATGTAACCTTGCTACTATTTTTTATAAAATATCACAAAGCTATGTTCAAAGACAAGAAGCTCGTAGTTCTCAGTCATCAAACCGTGTTTTAATGATATTTGCATTATTTCCATTTGGATCGTGTTTGAATCGACCTTAAATAATTAAAAAAATAAAGATGAACCTTCTGCCGATGCAGCCACATAAGTTTTATAAGTTATTAGTTTATTTGATTATGAAAAGACACAGTAGGAGTCTGCCTAAGGAGAAGGATGTATTCGTGGAGGACTTTCTAAGGGGAACTGGCTCTATCCACGTTGCACATGAGGAAAATCACGAAGGCGCCCATGCAACCTGCCCGTTCACCTGGAATCGATTCCAGGTCGTACAGTCAGTGTTCAGAGACTTTATTGCTCGGCCGTTTGTAGGCCCATTTTATAAGCAATAAAAAATATAATAGCTAAGTTCATAGGAATATCTTTAGTCTCCATAAGGTAGTACATCTACAATCGCCCAGAGATTTATATAATATGAATGTGTACTATAGAAAATTGCCATTTAAATAGGCTGATTGCAGTTCTCTGAAATATTTAGAAGTGCTGAAAGTAAAATAATTAATTTATATTTTTTATTATATATATATCTTTTATAATTCTTTTTTAAGCTAATTCCAGGCGTTTTCTGTTTCTTTACCTAAGGCAAGTGCATCACTCACTTCACACATACTCCTAACCTATCTATTCTTTTTCGTAACTTCCTCACTTCGCTGCTGCGAACGTTAAAATTGTTTTGAACAAATTGATAAATAGGTAAACAAATAGAAAGACTAATTTATATATGTATGTAAGGTTAAAAATAATAAAGCAAAATACTAACTTTAATCTTCAATAGTCCCCTATCTCTATATTGCTAACATCTTTAATACAACTTCTACTTTATGCATCTTTATGTCTTCATCATCCAAATTATTGTACCTCCTCATATTAAATCTCACTGTACTGCGTTATTTCAGAATTAATCCATGTCATATATTGCATAACGCTGATGACGCAGTTACTTAATAATATAATATTGTAGCCAATAATACTTTTAAAAATTTAACATTAACTTACCAGAATAAAGCTAAACCAAAACTAAACCATTATGAACAGGGATATATGCGCATGGCAAATAATGCAATACTTGATGGAGTTCAGATGTGGTTGCTAATCGGAAGTAATGTGAACAACAGTGAAAAAATTCAAAAATAAATCCCCCCCTCCAAGCTCCCAAAGGAATGACATGGTGCGAGTAAAGAAATCTCATCTCCAACAATAGCCCATCTCCTCTTCCATTCAAACTCAGCAGTCTGCGTTATATGCCCCTATAGTAAGATAAATTCTAAAGATAGATAATGTTCTGAAACGCTACCTGTGCGATATACGATGAAGTTTTTGGCGCTGCATTCATTTCTACCTGCCTACCTAGACACGTCGTATTCGCTCAGTGCTTCTGTGGTTAGTTAACTTGTCGTTCCTGCTTGTGCGACAGCTTCTTAAAAATGTAACAGTTCTTCAAGAATTGTCGTGCTTACTGCGCTAGTTTATCAGTGATGTATCAAGAAGTTTCATCTTCAACCAAACCAATATTTTATCAAGAAATAATAAAACCATATTATTCTATTGCTTGCAAGTATCTCATTCTTCTCTTAAAATTCCTTACACACACACACACACACACACACACACATATATATATATATATAGTATAGTATTTACAGTGTTAATTAAACGCATAAAAATGCAGTTGAACAAAGCGATATGAAAACTAAACGAATGATTTGTCTTTGAATTTCCTTTGAGTCATTCAAAGACGACTCGAAAACGAAAGTAAATGCGCCACATGGAACTAAAACTATTGCAGTTTAATTAACATATGCGTGAGAGTATCAGCTGAACAGATTCACTTGAAAACAAACACAAACCAACAAAGCATGTTTTCCGTCATCAATCGCAGCGGAACGTTTCGTGTAACACTAACTCATTAAAGGTAGCTTCACCTCTTTTTTACTCACCTTTTTTTTTTTTTTTTTCCTTAACAGATTCTGCGGAGCCACGTGATGGTAAGAGTTGGAGGTGGATGGGATACCCTTGAGCATTACCTGGATAAACACGACCCCTGCAGATGCAGATCAGGTAAGTTTTGAATTTTATATTCGCCAACAGGAAACACATTCGCGCCTTTTTGTTGTGATGTCCTTGCATATTTGTCCCTGAAATTGTGCTGCGCTATTATGCAACCCTGTCTCATCGTTATTTCCTTTTAAAGATACTAATTTGAAAATGAAATGCATCATGGAGGAAGTGTTCTAGTTGACGTAAATACGTCCTCTTAGGGGGGTTTTAAAAACTACAGAATTTTGTATTGATATGCGTGTGACAATGCGGCATAAGATCCGGAACAGAATTTCATACATATAAAAGATTTAAATACCTAGTTGTTAATCTAAGCGTTACCAATCATCTTGTCAAACATTAAAATACATCCATCTATCATATGCGTATTTTGCAAGAAGACGATCAAATTTAAAATCTAGACAGCGATTTGTTTTTATTAATGTAAAATTTTTCATTAAGCACTTGTCCTTTATAGTAACTGAAAAAAATTACGTTGAATTATTTTTATTTACATTATGTAATTGAATACAACGACCGTTTACCCTTTAATATCACAAAAAGGATCGAAAGGCGTAATCCTTTTAGGAGTTTTAAAACACAATTAAAGTTACATGTTTGCGATATCATCAATCTATGAGTGTTTTCCTGTAAATCTAAATAATTTCTTATTTCGTGATATGTAACAAAGAACGTACTTGCACGTTTCTAATTTAAGCACTTAACGACTACGGCCTTTGTTATAGTTATCATCACAGATTTAAATATTAAACTTACCTGAGTTATGATTATTTATTAACGGTTTAGGAACGGTAAAATACTATTTATAGATTAGGAGCGCAAAAATGCTATAAAACTCACACGGACTATATAAGCAATAGAGACAGTCTCCAAAGAAATTGAAACTTCTCAGACTCTAAAAATGCACATTTAAGTAACACAAAAATTATCGTTAACACATATGAGAAATTAAGCTTTCAGAGGGACTAATTATAAAAATGAATTATTCGTTTTATTCCTTCCATTTTCACTGTTTATCTTTAAAACATTACTTATATGATTATGATTAATCCCACTTTCGTTGCGTGAGCTAGTTCATCGATATTCGTATAACAAAAGGAAAAAAAAAAGGAGTTTTATTTTGAACATATACAGTATTGGTTTGTGTATGTAATCTTAACAAGTGTGATGAAATCAACTTGTCTTATATATTTCAAATCGTAGTAATGTGAATTAATTTTTTTTAGAAAACTAGGATAGCAGGTTAAGAGAAAAGATTCCGCATCTTCAACTGGTATAGAAATAATCCTATAACTGTGTATGAATAAGATTTACTTTCCCTTTACATTAATGGGTATTAAAATGAAGAATTTTCTCAATACTTAATTTGGCTGTTACATTTATCACACACTTGAATGGAGCGATCTATATCACGTGGCATTTGTTACCAAGGAGACTACATTAATTCAACTTCTTATTCCTTTCACGCTGTCCAACACTACAAGTCCCGACATTCTTCCAAATTGTTTTCGGCGTCATTTGTTTCATAAAAACTGAAGAAATGGTGAAGCCCAAAACTGAACGAAATGGTCCATCCTACACTGTTCGTCAAAACAAACTAAAGGATATTGACAGAACTAAACTGATATTTACTGATAAATGATTAAAACTGATTTGTAAAAAAAGCATTATTTGCATAAATTACCATTTTGTATATTGATTAATCTAAAACTATAGAATTTTTGTCGCATTCATAAAAATTACAAAATGAAGGAATAATTATCTCCTCTGCTTTGCTACAAATCTTTCTTTATTATGGGGGTAGACGTTATTATTTATTTATTATGTTTCTTTATTATTTATTATATAGTCATCGCTTACAGAAATGCAAATCTCACATGTTGATTTCATAGAATTTTTCGAACTGTTGTTTTCGGTTTGGTTTGGTCTTATTTGATTATGGCAAAGTCTTTTAGGACTATCTGCTTAAGGGCAGGTGTGTCTTCGGAGAGAACTTTATAAGGGAAATTGGTGTGTATCTACTTCCAAACTGTTAATAAGGTTTGTAGAATTGCATGCCACTCTTCTGAAAGTGCACTTTTCAAATCCTGGAAGGTTTAGCAAAGCATTTGCGGTGCTACAGTTTGGCGACCTCAGCTTGTTAGGTGATTATTTGGTTACGTACACGTGCTTGGTTGAGTTCAAAATCTGCTGAGTAAGACTGCTAACCTATTCAAGTGACATTGTTTCTAAATATTCTGACCCCAGGGCTACTTGATGCGGACGATCATTTTCGTTCATTAATAAAAAATATGGAACAACTGCATTTTTAAGCAGCTTTATAAGGGGTCTTCAAAACTTCATTTGCATACCTGTGACCGTTTATAGAACCTCCATCAATTATCTACAGCTCAGTGCAACCACATTTAATGATTCTGTCCCAAACCATGAAACCGCTCCCTTAGGAATAGCATCCTTTATAAAAAAGGGAAGGCAGGTTTCATGTCTTTCCCTCTTTCTACATCAAAAGATGACTAGAATCGCAATTCAGAATATATCTGGATTCACTAGTAAATGGTACACGGGTCTCATTTTCCTTGGCTTCGCTGAAACTCACGACGACATCGCCTTAAAAGAGTTTCTTTGTAAAATGGAGTGGTACAAATCTTTTGTTTTAAAGTCCATCCTCATGAAGCCTTTGAGCAGTAATAGGAAGTTCATCAGGGGTTCTCAACCGGTGGTACGCGAGAGAAAAATAGGTGGTACACAAAGAAGCAAAGTATTTTTAACTATTAAATTTAAAAATTAAAACTCCAACATCCTAATTGAGTTTTTTCTCTAACACTCGTAAATTTATGCGATCTGAGCTTTGTTCAAGAGTGGTGGTGGGAGTAGTACTTTGTAGGGATGGTACTACAAGTTTTCAATTTTTGTTTAGATGGTACGCGTTATTCAAAAGGTTGAGAACCGCTGGAATATATGATTCTGAGATCCTTCGGCAGCCCAAAAGTACTGTTTTAATCATTTCATTATTTATCTAAGCCGGCAGTGACGGTAGACGGTCTTCAGTTGCAGTTGTTGCTGTTGGCTGTCCTTGATCAGGCTATTTACTCACGGATTCACTGCTAGTTCTAAATTCTTGATATAAAACCTTGAGGAATATTCAAATCTCAGATGACCTCCACTTGCGTCCTCGAGTCTACAAATGAATCACCACTTTAGTCCTTCACTTGAATGATAGAGTCATATATGAACTGTCCTTTTCCTCTACTAGAGTATTAAAATGTACCTAATTTAAAATATTATGTGCATTCTATATCATAGGTATAATAAAGAGATATTGTGCATCACTCAATAAATCCTAATTCCATCTGGCAGTAACCATGAGAGATGGAAAAAAAAAAGTCAGACTGCATCCAGTTACTTTAAAACAGAGCATCAATAATACTTTGAATGATTTTCTTTTTCATCTCAGCCCCAATTGCCTGTTATATCACAACCATTAACAAAACATGGAAAATAATTAATGTAATTAAATCATTGCTTCTTGGCGCAATGATTATTCAATTATTGGAATTTTTGTAATTTCAGTAATTTTTTTCGCATTCAGTTCCTATTTAATTTCAGAGTTAAAAAATGTCCAATTTAAAAAATCATTCAATTGTCATAAATGTAAATTTTACGTTGGTAACTGCTTACGAAAACGTTATCCATTTTTCTATCATAAATTCATGGATGTAAATATAAGCAACACAAGATTTTAGCAAGCGGAAAATTTAACAAGAAAATAATAAAATAAAATTCCTCTACTTTAAGAGCATTTAAAAAACATGGCGCTTAATACAATATAAACTACCGACTACACGAATAATCAGCTTTTTTCTTGCCACTTTCATAGTCTATAGCACATTTTTTAAATCAAAATATGTGCTTCAGATACTATTAATATTTTTAGTTCTAGTTATTATTATCTATGTTCATTGTTAGTTTATTATTTTCAAATCTCTCAGTTTTTAAGATGATTTAAGTGATTAAATTTGAAAGACAGTTATAAAATCTGGATATTTGCGGGTCCGCGCTTAAGATAAATTCAAAGGTAGCTTCGCTCAGCGTCAGCGTCTGTTATGGTCGGTAAATAATATTTATTACATTCTTAGATATCTCATTTTATGTATAGTAAGTGCGTACATGATTAGTTTCTTGTATTTAATCTGAAAGCTTGTTCATTATACTTGATTAAGACCACTATTACATCTGTTCAGAGAATTGCTGAATTTCAGCAAGAAATCTGCTAAATATTGTACAAGCATAACTTTTATGTACATCGGCTCTCTGAAAAATACACGAGACTTCTTTTATTGTATTAATACTTGATAGATTGCCTTGTACACTAGATGGGCGAATGGCTGAGTTATTACCCTCTTCCTTTTCAGTCGTTCAGCTGTCTTTTTAGTTTGTTTTCTGTCATGGGACAATGTCAACGTCTGGTTGTATCCGTGAAAAGGAATATATTAAGGTGTGGTCATCATTAAATCTTAGATGAAAGAATTCGTATGCGAATCCAGTTCTGTGCTTGTCAAATGCCAAAGAAAGTCCGTCACTTAGAAGGAAAATATTTGTATGCATTTATTTGAATACTTCAGTGACGCATCGGTTTGAACACTTTATGTGTCAGCTTGTTCATTAAAGTAATTAGAAAATAACAAGATTTATATCAATCAAAATTTTAACATTCTTTCGAATCTTCTATTCTAATTATATAAAGCAGGTGTTCTCAACCGGTGGTACGCAAGAGAAAAATAGGTGGTACGCAAAGAAGCAAAGTATTTTTAACTATTGAATTCAAAAATTAAAACCCCAACATCCTGATTGAGTTTTTTCTCTAACAATCGTAAATTTATGCGATCTGAGCTTTGTTGAAGAGTGGTGGTGGTAGTAGTACTTTGTAGGGGTGGTACTACAGGTTTTCAATTTTTGTTTAGATGGTACGCGTTAGTCAAAAGGTTGAGAACCGCTGATAT